CAGGAAGTTTCCCATTCAGCTCAAAGATGTCCTTGCCCACGGCCTTGGCAGTACCAATAGATACAGGGATGATGTTCTGGACAACTCCATGGCCATCACACCTCAGCTTTCCAGAGGGGCCATCCATGGTCTTCTGGGTGGCAGTGATAGCATGGGCTGTGGTCATAATTCCCTCTAAGATTTCAGAGTTGCATGGATAACGTTGGCCAGGGAGGCCAAGCAGTTGATAATGCAGGAGACATTGCTGACAATCTTGAGAGAGTTGTCATACTTCTCATGGTTCATGGACATCTCACACATGGGGTCATTGGCAGAAGGAAAAGAGATGATTACCTGTTTGGCACCACTCTTCAAATGAGCCCCAGCCTTCTCAGTGGATTCCATAAAATTCTCAAAACCACCATCACTCTGCTTGATGTTTGTGAGATCTTACTCCTGGAAGATAGTGATGGCTTTCCCATTGATGACAAGCTTCCCATTCTCAGCCTTGACAGTGTCATTGAACTTGTTACGGGTAGAATCACACTTGAACATATAGACCATGTAGTTGAGGTCAATGAAAGGGTCATTGATGGCAACAACATCCACTTTACCAGAGTTAAAAGCAGCCCTGGTTATAAGCCTTCAGTGCGGCCAAATCCATATACTCCTACCTTTACATCTCAGGGATGCAGCTGAGGCTGCACGATAAGAGAGGGCTCTGCTGATCAGCGAGGAGCAGAGAGCCCAAATCTTAACTTGAATCTTTAAAGTAGTTCTTAAAAGTAATAGAATATTTCTCTTTTTTTTTTAGAATATTTCTCTTTTAATTTTTGGAATTTTGTATTGATTTAGAAACCAAAGCTTATAAAAAATTTTATTTCTTAGTAGTTAGTTTTCCACAGTAATCTACTTTACCACTCCAATTAAGAAAATCTAAAGAATTTAAATTAAATTTTTAAAAAATTGTTGCTAATAGTTTTTGAAACTGCTAGGAATTTTCTTTTCAAAATTGACATGCCGTTATTAAGCCAGCACACTGCTTAAGCAGTGCACACTGCTGTGAACTTGATGACACCGCCATGTTGTACTCAGACACAGGCCCCTACCACGATGGAGGGACTAATCCAGTGACTGTTCCAGCAGGAGATTTAGCAGCAGACCATCCACCAGCGAACTTAGTTCCAGAATCAGCTTTTCCACCATCTCTTGGGGCTCCTAACCTACTAATATATGACGGGTCAAGCATTGAAAATTTTGGAGCCCTTAACCTTAAACCTACAGCAACACAGCCTTCAGCACTGGTTTTCAGAAAAGCTAGCAAGAACACGTCACTTAGGAACTGTGCAGCTATCCAGTGCATAGACTTGTCCAAGCCTTGTTTCCAACCCAGCACTCAAGGCTACCCTAATTGTGAAGCTGATAGCCTATGCATGGAGGATGGAATCAGACATGTATGAGTCAGCTAAGATCCAGGAGGAATACTTTCATTTATTACACATTTACATAAGCAAGGCATCATGGGTAACGAGCTAACCCAGAGCCAGGGGCTGATACCCTTGAGATTCCATCTGGGCAGCCCTTGTGACTAAGGGCCTCACACCTCCTTCCAATTTCTCACTGATTTGCTTGTTTTCTCCTCTGTATTTGGGGTTTAATATTAAGAACTTGGAATCATAATCAGGCAGCCTGTAGTTTGCAAGCTATGTTTATAACGGTTCCAGTGGTGAAGAAATGAGTTGTGTGTCTTAAATGCAGTTTTTTTGCTGGGGAGGTGACCTTCCAAAAACACCATGTTTTGGGACTTTGTGTTACCTTAAATTTGAAGTCCTCAGAAAAATTCTGTCATTAAATCAAAGATCATGTTAATAAATCATTCCCCCCCCAACTTGTTACTGCACACAGCCCCCTAAACTTGCTCATGAATCTGATGGAGCTTTCTCAAGCTGGTTGTGAATCATGTTTTGATTTAACACACACATGCACGCACCTAGGCTGACATCTAAGTTTTAGGTTGTTTTTTAATCTGCTCAGAAGATTTTGTCTGTCTAAGGAGTTGTGCGCCCAGCCGCAAGGCACAGGATCAGATCCACCAGCTTCTCCGTGAGGAAGATGGACAGTCTCCTCCCATGCAATTTACTATCTCTGAAAACCTACCAGAAGGTCAGCTATCAGTCAGTTTCTACTTGATGGTACACACAACAAAGTTGATAAATAAATCAAATTTACTTCTCGGCATTATATCTGAATATCAAAGAGTTTTGAACTACAACTTTAAATATTCTTACAAGTAAAAAATATATCTTTTAAATATTTTCATTAATTTCAATTTTAGAAGGGAAAATGTGAATCAAACTTAATTGGATACTGAACATCCTAGCCAGATCCAGACCAAATTCACTATTGTTAAGTTGAAATGCTGTAACCCCCTTTGGGGTTTTTAACGCTGTGAATCTTTATGAGAGGAAGCCAGCCATCTTCACCTGTGAAGCAGCTGGTGGATTCAAAACCTGATCTTTCAGTTAGCAGTGTTTCTTACATATATGGTGTTATATACTGGAGAGTCAATACCAACCAATAGCTGACCCTCTAGTGGGTTTTCAGAGAAAGTTAATCACTGGGGAGATTGCCCATCTTTTTCCTGCGCAGCATCTGGTGGCCTCAAAACTCATGCTTTTGAGATGGCAGTGCAGCTTCTTGCCACTAGGCTAGCAGCCTTACCACTCCTCAAGTACTGGACATGCTGCTAGCCCCTACAGTTTGCATGCCAGTTTCTGTCATGTCAGCCCTTTTACTGATAGTCTTAAGGATTATGGGAAGTATTTAACTTCATGGGGGAAGAGGATGGAATCTGGAAAAAATTATATCTGTCTAAGAAAAATTTAATGTATACATATTAATTTTACTTTCTGTAGTGCAAGAATGAGATGCAAGGAATGTTTAAATATTTAGTGTGATAGGCTGTTAAGACTAGAGGCTTAATGGAAACCTTTCTTTATTATGTTTCATGTTCTATTAAGTAGGATTTTAGTGATCAGACTGCAACAAAAGATTTTCGCTTAGGGAATTCACAGGGGGGGGAATCCAGTAGATTTAATTTAAATAAATAAGGGCCTTTGGCTAATTTATGAGGTTTTATTGCTTACTTCTACTGAGTAGTTTGACTATTTTACTTTATAATTTTGGGATATGTAGTTAAAAATTGAATACATAAATATTGAAGCTTTTAAAATGCATTTTCAAGTTTATTTTCATTGAATAAATTATTATCATTCGTTTCTAACTTGCATTATCTTGAATTTTAAGCTCCTGTTTTCGTTCTTTGGCTAAAGATGTTGTTATTATGTACCAGTTGAATTGAAACAAACTCAGAGCTGACCTCCAATGGGCTTTCAGAGGCAGTAAATTAACTGCCCAGAAGGAAATTCCCATTTATCCTCCTGCAGAGCGTCTGGTGGATTCAAATCACATGCCTTTGAATTGCAGCTCCTTAACACTAAGCCACTAGAGCTCTCTGAACTAAAGATGCATATGGGGAAATAAGTGGGTTTTAACTTTTGTTTAAAAATTCTAACTACCACTTTTCTGATACTTTGTATCTTCTGATTTCTTTTTTCTCTATTTTTAATTTTTCCTGTTAGTTAAACACAAGTAATTTTAAAAGCTATTTTAACTTCACATTTTACTAACAGTGTATCATTCTGTAAGTAAAATTTATTGATCAAACTTAACAGAATGATATATGATTATTTTCCAAAACAAGCAAGTGAACAAACAAACCTGACTACTAAATGACACTAAATTATTGCTTCACAGTTCATTTTTCTCCATGGAGATGACACAGACAGTGATCAGTTACTCCACTCCTGTGACTAAATGTTTTTAATTTAGTAACTATAAATTATTACAGTTTAACCTGACGATTCAGGATAATTATTTTGATAAGAGTTTTAGAATTCTTATATTAGTTAATGTTAGCTATCAAAATATTGTGAATGGATATTATGACAAATTTATAGGCAAAAACCTAAACCATTTACGATAAAAGTGATTCTAATTCATAGTGAACCCATGTGTGTCAGTAGGGCTTTCAGTGGCTGGTTTTGTGGTAGGATACCAGACCTTTCTTCTAAGGGGCCCTTGATGGACACAAATCTATAGCCTTTTAGTTAACATCAGTGCTAGCCATTTGCACTGCTTATGCTCATAGACAAGCCTTAAAACATGTGATAACATTTCTTTACCTTTTGACATTTTAAATTGACTTCAATAAAAATTAGGATAAAGCCGAGGCGGGGGAACCCCACTAAGAAATTAAAATAATAGGCAGAACCCACATATATGCTTTTTTATTCATTCTGTATAGTGTTAAGTTGCATGAAGTTTTAATAGGACTTGATTTTTCTGATTCTCTGGATAGCAGATCAGAAATAAATTGGAAGTAGGGGTAGTATTTGTTTAGATTTTATGTAGACTCTTGGGTTGTGTTAAAAATAGCATTGTTAGTTTTTGTGTATTTGACTTATGCTGTCTTTTTCCCTCAGAGTTTGAGTATTTTTTTATAAATAATGTAATAAAGGAAATAGTTTAGATGCAAATGACTGGCAGACTTCTAGGTTAAATATAAATTATTAAAAAGCATACACAAATTTTATAAATCTTGGACCATTTATATATAGGGCAAAACAATACTTGAAGCATTTTTCTAGGTTATAAAGTTGGTTTTTAATGATGACCAATAAGTAATGTAAAGATTAAATGAGATTTATTATTGTAACATAAGGACGCATAATATATTTCAAAAAATAAAAAGCACAGAAAAAGCCATTATTTTTAATTTCAGTTATATCTTATTAAAAATCATCATTTTTATAAACAGGATTGTTACTAACTATATTTAATATAAATCTTTGTTTTTAACCTGTGCTTGATTTCTTTGTCTTCTTTGAAGTTACTGTACTTTGTCCTTATTTGAAAATAAGTGAAGCCTTCATGTTCAAAGTAATTACTTATTTCTCCAGGTGCTACAAAATACACAGATAAAGACAATGGAGGGATGCTTGTATGGTCTCCATATCACAGTATTCCAGATGCCAAATGTAAGTCTCCTAGTTACATTTTTATGTGAACGAACAGCAATCGATCAGCTGATTAATATACAACTTATATTTCGTCTTAGACCTAGAAGATTTTCATATAGGATGACTTGTCTTTATTGTTTTACTTTTTAAAAAGGAAATGGTTATATTAAAAAGTTTTCCCTTTTGAAAGATACTGGGCTTACTCTAATTTGTGTCAACCAGATGAAGAATGAATAGACCTAAGATATATTGACATTGCTGTTTAACTCCTCAAGCAAGGGAGGGAGTTACTGTGAAGATATCTACCCAGGCTTTTCTTCAGTATAGCAAGCTTTAAAGAAATGTTTTCAAACTTCAGAGAACCCCACTGTCATTACTATTTTAAATAGAAAAAGGGAAAGAACAGCCATTAGATCATCTTTTTGCTGTCCATTTCTGGAGGGAGACCTTTTGGATCATTGACTTATACTTCTTAATTTATGATGTGACTTTAGACATCAGTGAGATGTAGTGCATCTGATCCTTTGTGGCACATTAGATATAGGAAACATGTAGGTAACAGTACCAGGATCCCCACCCCTCCAAGAAATGCTACTGAATTTATAAAACAACACTGAGCAGCTCTCCTAGCAGCTGTAAAATAAGCTTTTTCCCCCTAAATACTTGATGATGTTGTAAAATATCTCATGATGGTGCTTTAGTATGTTGTTGTTGTTGTTGTTGTGTGCCGTCGAGTCGCTTGCGACTCATTGCGACCCTATGTACAACAGCCCTAACCTCCGCACTGTCCTGTGCCAATCGCACTGTCTCTGACACTCCCATCCCAATTATCCCAGTCACTGAATCAATCCACCTCATAGAGGGCCTTCCTCTCCTGCACTGTCCCTCCACCCTCCCAAGCATGATGTCCCTCTCCAAGGACCGGTCTCTCCTCACAACATGTCCAAAGTATGTTAGACGGAGCCTCAGAATCCTTGCCTCCAAGGAGCCACCCGGTTTAACCCCTTCCAGGACAAATCTGTTTGTTTTCCTAGCAGTCCATGGTATTCTCAATACTCTTCTCCAGCACCACAGCTCAAAGGCATCAATTCTCCTTCTATCCTCCTTGGTCATTGTCCAACTCTCTGATGCATAATAAGTGATTGTGAAGACCATAGCCCGTATCAGACGCACCTTAGTCTCCAGAGAGACACCACTGCTCTTCAGCACTTTGGAGAGGTCCCTAACAGCAGACTTTCCCATGGCAATGCGCCTTTTAATTTCCTGGCTGCTGGTGCCAAGAGTGTTGACTACAGAGCCAAGCAAACTAAAGCAGTGTACAATCTCAATCTCTTCACCATCCATCCTGATGCTGCCAGTTGGTTCAGTGGTGAGAATCTTTTGTCTTCTTGACATTGAGCCTCAACCCATATTGTAGGCTGCAGTCCTTGACACTCTGCAGCAGGTGCTTCAGGTCCTCTTCAGTTTCAGCAAGCAGGGTTGTGTCATCCGCATCACGCAGGTTGTTGATAAATCGTCCACCAATCTTGACCCCACATTTCTCCTCATAGAGCCCAGCCTCCCGGATAATCTGTTCTGCATATAGGTTGAAAAGGTATGGAGATAGGATGCATCCCTGGCATACGCCCTTCCCAATTTTGAACCATGCAGTGTTGCCCTGCTCTGTTCTGACGACTGCCTCCTGATCCAAGTATAAGTTTCACATTAGAACGATCAAGTGTTCTGGGATTCCCATTCTTCTCAAAGTCAGCCATAGTTTGTTATGATCTACACAGTCAAATGCCTTTGCATAGTCAATGAAACACAGATAGACATTCTTCTGGTATTCCCTGCTTTCAGCCAAGATCCATCTAACATCAGCTACAATATCTCTAGTACCACGACCCCTTCTAAACCCAGCCTGGACTTCCGGTAGTTCTCTGTTGATGTGCTGTTCCAGTCATTTTTGGATAATCTTCAGTAAAATCTTGCTTGCATGTGAAATCAGTGAGATTGTTCTGTAGTTTCCACATTCTGTTGGGTCACCTTTCTTTGGGATAGGAACAAATATCGATCTCTTCCAGTCAGTTGGCCAAGTGGTCGTTCTCCAGATTTCTTGGCACAACTTGGTGAGCACGTCCAGGGCAGCATCTGTTAACTGAAATATGTCAATTGGTATACCATCTATTCCTGGAGCCTTATTTTTTGCCATTTCCTTCAAAGCAGCCTGAACTTCTTCTTTCATCACCATAGGCTCTTGCTCATATGTTGTTTCATGAAATTCTTCTGTGTCTTCCAATTCCTTTCGATACAGTGACTCAGTATATTCTTTGCATCTTCTTTTAATACTTCCTGGATCATTTAACATTCTGCCGAAAGCATCCTTGATTATAGCACCTCGAGGTTTGAGTTTGTTCTTCAGTTCCTTGAGCTTAAGATATGCTGAGCAAGTTCGGCCCTTTTGATTTTCTGACTCCAACTCCTTGCACATTTCATTGTAATATTTTGCTTTGTCATCCCTTGCTACCTTTTGAAATCTTCTATTCAACTCTTTAGTATCTTGAATTCTTCCTTGCGCATTGCTGTCGTGGCCTAATGGGTAAGGAGTTGCACTGTCAACCCAAAGTCAAGCAGTTTGAATCCATCAGCTTCTCCACAGGAGAAAGATGGGTAGTCTTTTCATATGCAATTTGTTGTTGTTGTTGTTGTTGTTATGGTTGTTGTGTGCCGTCAAGTCGCACAACAGCAACCCAATGTACAATAGCTCTGAAACCTGCAACTTTATTATCTCTCTGACACATCTAACCTCATTACCTCAATCACTGTGTCAGTCCATCTCAACATGGTCTCTCTTCACTTACTCCATCCCTCACCTTTCCAAGCATGATGTTCCTCTCCAAGGACTGGTCCCTCCTTGCAACATGCCCAAAGTATGTCAGACGAAGCTTCAGAATCCTTGCCTCCAAGGAGCAGGCTGGTTTCACCCTCTCTAGGACAAACCTATTTGTTCTCCTAGCAGTCCATGGCATATCCAAAACTCTTCTCTAGCACCACAGCTCAAAGGCATCAGTTCTCTTTCTGTCATCCCTAGTCATTGTCCAGCTCTCTGACACATAGCAAGCAATTGCAAATACTATGGCCTGGATCAGGTACACCTTAGACTCCGGACTGACATCAGTACTCTAGAGATATCCCTGACAGCTGACTTTCCCAATGCAATTTGTCTCTTGAATTCCTGGCTGCTTGTGCTAAGAGTGTTGATTGTGGAGCCAGGTAAACTGAAGCTGTTAACAATCACAATCTCTTCCCCGTCTATTATGATGCAGCCAATCAACCCAGGGGTGAGAATCTTTGTTTTCTTGATGTTGAACTTCAATCCATAGTGAAGGCAGCAAGCACTTCAGGTCCTCCTCAGTTTCATCAACCAGGGTTGTGTTATCTGTATAACACAGGTTGTTGATGAGTCTTCCCTGGATCCTGATGCCACATTCCACCTCATAGAACCCAGCCTCCCAAGGTGATCTGTTCTGTATATAGATTGAAACGATATGGAGACGGAAAGCATTCTTGGCATACACCCTTCCTGATTTTGACCTTTGCAGTGTCTCCATGCTCTGTTCTCATGACTGCCTCGTGGCCCAAGTATAGGTTTCACATAACCACAATCATATGTTCTGGGATTCCCATTCTTCTCAGAGTCAACCACAGTTGGTTGTGATCCACACAGTCAAATGCCTTTGCATAGTCAATGAAACACAAATAGACATTTCTCGGTACTCTCTACTTTCAACCAAGATCCATCTAACATTAGCTGTAATATCCCTGGTACCATGGTCTCTTCAAAACCCAGCCTGCACATCTAGCAGTTCTCTGTTGACATGCTGCTCCAGTCATTTTGGATAATTTTCAGCAGAATCTTGCTTGTATGTGATATTAATGATATTATTCGATAATTTCCGCACTCTGTCGGGTCACCTTTCTTTGGAAAGGGAACAAATAGCAATCTCTTCCTGTCAGTAGACCAGGTGGTTATCCTCCAGATTTCTTGGCACAACTTGGCGAGAGCATCCAGGGCAGCATCTGTTTTTTGAAATATGTCAATTTCTAGGCTCTAAAAACCTGCTAAAGGGTCAGCTGAGTTGGTTCCAACTCAACAGCAGTGAGGGGGGTTTTTTTTGTTAATTTTTAAAAAATATGTCACTGCTTTGTTTTTGTTGTTAAGTGCTGTCGAGACACCTGTGACTCATAGTAACCCTATGTACAACAGCCCTAAATTCTGCTCTGTCCTGTGCCAATCTTACTGTCTCTGACACACTTAACCCCCATTACCCTAGTCACTGAATCAATCCATCTCATCGAGGGTCTTTCTCTCTTGCGCTGTCCTTCCATGCTCCCAAGCATGATATCCCTCTGCTAAGACTGATCTCTCCTTGCAACATGTCTAAAGTAGGTCAGACACTTAAGTTTAAATATACCTATTGATAACATAAGAGAATGGAAAATTGACAACAGAGTATGCTTCTGTATGTTGTTGTTGTTGTTGTTATGTGCCATCGAGTTGTTTGCGACTCATAGCGACTCTATGTACAAGAGCCCTAAACGCCATTTTATCTTGTGCCACCTTCGCTGCCTCAAACACATTCATTCCCACTGCTCCACTCAGAGAATCGATCCATCTCATCGAGGGTCTTCCTCTCCTGCGCTGTCCCTCCACTCTCCCAAACACGATGTCCCTCTCCAAGGACCAGTCCCTCCTTGCAACATGCCCAAAGTATGTCAGACAAAGCTTCAGAGTCCTTGACTCCAGGGAACACTCTGGCTTCACCCTCTCCAGGACAAACGTGTTTGTTCTCCTAGCAGTCCATGGTATATTCAACATTCTTCTCCAGCACCACAACTCAAAGCCATCAATTCTCTTTCTATCATCCCTATTCACTGTCCAACTCTCTGATGCATAGCATGTAATATATATTGCTTCTGTATACTGGTACTTTTTTTTCCACCTTAAGAGATTTGGAGCACCAGTGAAAGGTCTAGCTGGTAATCTAGAAATTTTATCTTTGAGACATTCCTAACATAAAATACAAAATTACTTAGTTGGTATGGGACTGTGTACAAAAAACCCTAAAAGAGACTTACAGAATGCTCTGATTCAGTCTTTATTGCATCAAAGGTTTTTGATTCACAAACCAAGCATCAGCATTGGATTTCGCTGTTTTTAGCATTTTGTCTTTTGCAGTGGTGCATTTCTTAGCAAAGTAGAAACAAAATTCAGAAAACCAACATTTGCTAATAGCACCGTGTTCATTTGGAATATACAGCTGAATATCCATGACAGTGGCTTTTAGCCTTGGCTGTATATTGGATTTACTTGAGTAGCTGTAAAGCAATATTAATGTTTTCTCTCCACACCAAATTAATTAAATCAGAATCATCAGATATAGGCCTGGACATAATATTCTCCTAGTGATTTTAATACAATTTTAATACTAGGACTTTGACCCTAGTGATGTTGTTTACCCTTCTATAGGATTATAAGACATTTTTGTTAAATTTAATCAGCAGATATTTAAACAAGTTATGCTTTATGTGCTGTGGATTTTAAACAGTATAACTTCTGCATCAAAAATTTTGTCTTGAGGAAATACAATATCTGTAAAAGTTACTATAATAGAAGTATTATTGTAATAGCCTCTTCATTTATTAAGCTATGCTCTACTGACAGTTATAATAAATGCTTATAAAGTAATATGCCAGGTGCTATTCTAAGCAAATCTGTTAACTCATTTAATCATACGAAGAAGGTACTATTTTTTAATCACTATTTTAGAATGAGGAAAAGAAGGTACAAAAAGGTCAAGCAAAGATCAAAGTAAAAAAGATGTAGTAAAAAAACTGAATCTCAAACCCATAATGTTTCAGAATCAGAATGGTTAACCACTGCTCCTCAAAAACATACCTAAGCAGTAAATATGTAAAAATGTGTGTACATATGTGTATGTGTTTATATACGCGTGTGTATATATACGTATATATTGATCTACTGATATATTGATCTACTGCTGTTGAGTGATAACAGTCTGTATGGAGTTGTGCTCCTAATCTAAACATGACTGGCTGAAATCCACTAGCAGCTCCATGGGAGAAAGACGGACCATCTCCTGTGTGATTTACAGCTGCTGGAGGGTCGGCTGTCAGTCAGCTCTGACCTGATGACTGTGAGAGCTGTTGAATCAATTCTAACTCCTAGTGACCTGATGGTACAGAGTAGAATTCCCCTTTGGATTTCTTAGGCAGGAAATCTTTATGGAAGCAAACTGCTACATCTTCCTCTTGAGGAGCCGGGCACATACTATGCCACCAGGGCTCCTTATAACTTATGTATCATTTACTATAGAGGATCCAGATCAGGTGACTATGGGGACTTCACACAGTACTAAGTCCTGCTGGATGTGAAATGGCAGGTTAGTGAACACGGAGACCTTGAATAGCTAATATGTTGTCCCTGAAGAAGTCCTTATCTAAATTCTGTTGACTTGGTTACATATGAAAGATGAATGAAGATAGAATACTCAAATACCTTTCCATAGCAAGCAATAAAAGGTGAAGAAAAATTTAGGAATACTATAAAACCAAAACCACTATCATCAAGTTTATTTTGTCTCATATGACCTGTTGTTTTTATGGTTTTTATGTGCCATCGAGTCACTTGCAGGCCAGAGTAAAACTACCCCATAGGATTTCCAAGGCTGTCTTCTTTGTGGAAGCAGACTGTCACATCTTTGTTCTTTTTTCATTCTTTCTTTGATACTGTGATTTGGGTGAATGTTAACAAAGCATACTGGTTTTCAGTCAATCATTCATGCATAGTTTGTTCTATAACATTCATTATAATAGCCACAAAGCCTGATCATCCATTTAGTATATACTGTCTTTTCACACATCTTAGTAAGAGTTTATTATCTATTTATTGCCTGCTCCCCTCTCTGGAAATAGAATGATTCTATCTGTAAATCTTTTTTTTTTTTTCATTATAGTACAAACCTTAACCTTTTATAATCATAGTCTTACGCAGTATTGATTCTCTCCTGACTGATTGCCTTCACTCAGCATAGTGTTTTGTAGGTTCATTCATGTTTTATAGTGTTTTATGAATTCTTTGATGTTTTTCATTGTTGCATAGCACTCCATTTTTTAAAAAGTACCATGGTTTTTCATGTCTTTATTTGTTGATGGGTACTTAGGTTATTTCTACCTCTTTGCTGTTGAGAATAATGCTGCAGTAAATATGGGTGTGCATATTATCAGTTGTTGTCACAGGTCTTCCTTCTTTAATATAAATACCTAGCATAGTCTGTGGCGAGTTGCACTGCTAACCCAGAAGCAGCTCTGGTAGTCCAGCTTCACCAGCATCTCTATGGGGCAAAGGTGGGCAGTCCCCTCCTGAACCTGCTGCAGAGTCAGTTGTGAATTGGGTCAGCTATGAGTCAGTTTATATTTTCATTGTAAACTTAGTAAGGATACACCGAACTGCTTTCCAAAGTGGTTGTGCCATCTTACATTCCATCAACAATATGTGAGAATTCCAAGCTTGCTACACTCTTGCCCACCCTTGTCTATGCTTGTTGTGTACTGTTTTACTGAATTTTACTGGTGTGAGATAATACCTTTTTGTTTTGATTTGCATCTCTAATGGGTAACAATCTTGAGTGTTTCTTCGTATATTTATTGAAGTCATTTTTGGTGAAGTGTCAATCATGTTCTTTGCCCATCTTGTAATTGGGTTGTTTGTTAGATTTTTTTTTTTTTTAGATATTTTCCATAAATTTTAGAGATGACTCTTTCGTCTGATGGGTCAAATATTTTTCCCAGTCTGTAGGTTCTCTTTTATTCTTTTGGAAAAATTTTTTGATACACATAGGAATTTTAACTTATTCATCGAGTTCACATCGCCCGGTTGTGTATTTTTTTGTTATTGTTGTTAGTACGTGCTGGAGAGTAGTTGTTGTTATGTGCCATCAAGTCACCTGTGACCCATAGCAACACTGTGTACAACAGCCATTATCACTGCTCTATCTTGTGCCAGTCTTATTGTTTCTGACACACCTGCCCTCATTACACAAGTCACTGAATTAATCCATCTCATTGAATGTCTTCCTCTCTTCATTGACCCTCTCCAAGGACTGCTCCTGCCTTGCAACATGTCCAAAGTATGTCAGACGGAGCTTCAGAATCCTTGCTTCCAAGGAGCAGCCTGGTATCACCCTCTCTGGGATGAAACTGTTCTCCTAGCAGTCCATGGAATCATGGAATATTCAACATTCTTCTCTACAGCTAAAGGCATCAATTCTCCTTTTATCATCCCTAGTCATTGCCTAACTTTCTGAAGCATAGAAAGTAATTACAAAGACATGCCTTAGTCTCCAGACTGACATCATTGCTTTGCAGTACTTTGGATAAGTCTCTGACAGCAGACTTTCCCAAGGCAATTCGTCTCTTGATTTTCTGGCTACTGGTACCAAAAGTGTTGATTGTAGAGCCAAGCAACTTAAGCTGTTAACAATCTCAATCTCTTCACCGTCTATCATGATGCTTCAAATTGGCCCAGTGGTGAGAATCTTTGTTTTCTTGATGTTGAACTTCAATCCATATTGAAGGCTGCCGTCCTTGACCTTCTGCAGCAAGCGCTTCAGGTCCTCCTCAGTTTCAGCAAGCAGGATTGTGTTAACTGTGTAATGCAGATTATTGATGAGTCTACCTCCAATCCTAATGCCACATTTCTCCTCTTAGAGCCTAGCCTTCCATATAATCTGTTTTGCATATAGATTGAAAAGGTGTTGAGATAGGATGCACCCTGGTGTACACATTTCTTGATCTTGAATCTTGCAGTATTTCCTTGCTCTTTTCTGACAGTTGCCTCCTGCTCCAAGTATAGGTTTCACATAAGCACAATCAAGTGTTCTGGGATTCCCATTCTTCTCAGAGTAAGCCACAGTTTATTGTGATCCACACAGTCAAATGCCTTTGCATAGTCAATAAAACACAGATAGACATTCCTCTGGTACTCTCTGCTTTCAGCCAAGACCTATCTGGCATTAGCTATAATCCTTAGTACCACGGCCTCTTCTAAACCCAGCCTGCACTTCTGACAGTTCTTTTTCCTGTTTTTCCTCAGATGATCTTTATCATTTTATGTTTTAATTGTAGGTCCTTTATCCATCTTGATTTCATTTTTATAATAGTATGAGGTATGCATCTTGTTTCAATTTTCTGAAAATAGATACTCAATTTTGCAAGCTCCATTTGTTAAAGTTTCTGTCTTTTCTTCCTTTAATAAATGTCATGTCGTATCAAAGATCACTTGTCCATAGACGATGGATTTACCTCTGGGTTCTAAGTTCCATTCATTTGGCCTGTATATCTGTCGCTGTACCCGTAATACACTGCCACATCATTCTTTTTTGAAACAGCTGGTGGGTTCAAGCCTTTCAGTTAATAGGCAAGTGCTTTAACCACTGTGCCACGAAGAATCTTTTTGTAAGGATGGTGAAACATGTAATTATTATTATGTATTGCTGGCAAAGCAACAGATAAAGCCTTAATACAGCGATGAGAAATAAGATGATAAATACTTTGGGCCAACTCTAAATATAGGAGAGACTCTGAAACAGTCATATCTGTTTTAAAACAGATTAGACCAGAAAATTCAAGAAATTTTCTTAATATTTTACATTATAATTAAATTCTGTTGGCTACCCACACATTGATCTTTCTCTGCATGGAAAATAATTATATTGATGTCATTGAATCAAGTAAGTATATGATACATGTTGTAGATAAGCAATACTAGATAAAATTTTAATTCAGAAAACTTTTGATCCTTATATTAGTAAATTCTTAGGTAACATTTCTTAAAACATTTTCATTTGCTATGTTACAAACTTTAGAACTGGACATGTAAAGTCATTGAGAATAATTCTAAAACATTATCTTGTTACAGTGGATGAGTATATTGCAATTGCAAAAGAAAAACATGGCTACAATGTGGAGCAGGTATGTAGAGAAACATTTTAATGACTTCCTCAGTATTTGCCAAATCCAGATAACATCTAATGACTGTTAGTGTCTGTCTTAAGAAAATACATACATGTATGTTCAGCTGATTCCTAGATACCACAAAAATTCTAGCAAAAGTCTGACATTTTCATTATCAAAGATTTAACTATTATGAACGTTGTTGTAGTTAAGTGCTATTACGTCATTACCAACTCATTGCTGATCCTTTAGCAGGCTTTCAGAGACTGTAAATCATATAGGAGATTGCCCAACAGAGCAGCTGCTGGTTTCTGTTTGCCTTTAGGTTACCAGTGTCACTCCTTACCCTCTACGCCATCCGAGCTTACTAAATCCAACTTTAACTCTTGAGCACTTTTGTCTCAATACCTTTATGTCTTACTATGTTTTAAGTTCTGACAGTGTCTGAAAGCCTTTGGGATGATTCTAGCAAATGCTTCTCAAAATGAGAACTAAATTTTTGTTGTGTTTGGGACAAATAATCATGAATAGAATGTTTAAATATACCTTTTTTAATTAAAAAAATCCAGAAGTTAACGTAATATTTAAAGAAAATAGATTTTTATCAATTTTGAATAAACTAATTCATAATGACTTTTTTCTTTGTTTTTTTTGTTTGATGATTTTAAAAGGCCGTGTATATTTTTCATTACCTCTGGCTACCAGGGAGTGGAGAACATGGAAATAAGATGTCACACTTTATGAGAATTAGTAGTAAAATAGGCAGGATTGTCTTTAGTGCACTAGGAAAGGTATTTGTAACCTGGATTGTTGTTGTTGTTATTGATTACCATCCAGTTAAGCATGACTCGTAGCGACCCTATGAACAAAAGACCTGAAGCCCTTTCTTTAACTATCGTCGTTTCTCCAAGTTCATAGAGTTACAGAGGCATATTGTGTGGGAAGTGGCTGCCACTTCTGCTTCCAAAACCTGGATTATTATGTTAATAATTTTATACTTTGGTACCATAGTAGTAACATCTGAAATTGAGACATTTCTTTCCAATTGAAGTTAACTTTTTTATGTATTTTGAAGCCTTAAATGTGTGCTAAGTTTTTGCTTTACTTTTAAGATTTGAGAATATGTATCCTTTAAAAGACAACTGCCCATATGTCTCTTTTCATATTTGTGTTAAGGGATTGTCATTCAAGTACAAAGATTTACATCCAGACTTGTTTAAAAAATTGTTATATCTCTTTTTAAAGTTATAATTGGTGTACTCTTACTTTCAGTATTTAACTCATGGTATACTTAATAAAAGTTAAAATTCCCTCTTTATAAAGCACTTTGGTGCAATATTTATTTGACAACTTCACATAAATGTTAATTTACTGGATTTTTCCTTTTTTTTTTTCTTTTTCCAATGGATAAATATGTATGGAAGTCTTGATATGAGCATCTAGATTAGCTTTAATAATTATAGTCACTCCTCAACTCTCCCTCATTTCTGCAGCCAGTATGGTATGTAAGTATGTAAGAATATTCGTTGTTCTGAGGCCCTGATTTAAAAGACTAAATAAGCTCTACTATCCGAGCACCCTTGGTTAAGAGCCCCAAATTGTATGTGTATCTTCAGTTTTATTTGCAGACTTAAAATTTTAATTTGTGTTCAGCTTTCCTAAATGTGATAAAACATAAATTCATTGAAACCAAAGTAGAATGATTTCTTTTTAAAGGCACTTGGCATGTTGTTCTGGCATAAACATAACATTGAGAAGTCCCTTGCTGATCTCCCTAATTTCACTCCCTTTCCGGATGAGTGGACTGTGGAAGATAAAGTCCTGTTTGAACAAGCTTTTAGTTTTCATGGGAAGAGCTTTCACAGGATTCAACAAATGGTATGGTAATTTTGGTCTTACTGTGATTCATACCTGAATAGCATATTATGCTTTTGTTATGTACTTCTTAGTTATTAAATATAAAACATTTTCCAGTTTTGTTTTAATTTTAAAAGCATTTTTGTTTTTTTTTATTTTAATAATTTTAATGAACATTTACAGAGATTTTGGATTTGCATTCATTCATTGCTGCATTTCTCTCCCCGCCCAGCCCTCCACCCACTCCAATTCACGCCTCTCTTTAAAAAGTAAAAGAAACACTCCCTCCCTGGTACACAATCCCCCCCCCGCCCGCACCTCTCCCACCACCCCAAGTATATTCCGCTATGAAATCTTGATTGTGGACTCTTGTGATAATCATAATACCCTATCATACATCGCTTTTAAATTATTCTCTCCGTCATCTGTTTCAGTGCAGTATACACAATTTATCCAGTTAATTTTAAAAGCATTTTTAAATAGGTATGTTTGCACATACTCTTGTTTCTTTAACCACTATAATATGTGACCGTTATATGCTATTTCACAATAACTAGTATTTCTTTTTACTTAAGTATATGTATGTGTGTATGTATTGTTGCTGTTGAGTAACATTGAGTCAGAATTGACCCATAGCTGAAACTCCAGCAGGTTTTCAAAGGCACTACATCACATGGGAAGAGATTGCCCATCTTTCTCCATTAGGGCAGCTGTTAGATTTGAACTAACAGTTGGCAGTGTGATTCCTTACTGCTAAGCCACCAGAGATGTAAAGTGTTGGTGGTGTAGTTATGAGCTCCAAGCAGTTGACCTGGGTTCGATTTCCCAGTTAACTCATTGAGCTAAATATATTTATTGCAGTTATTAAATATGTTTGCCATTTCAGAGGGGAAAGATTCATAATTTTAGTTTTTTAAATGTTTTCTTTTTATTATTAGATCTTTTCCCCTAACTTACATTCTTTTGTGAATGAAATCCTATTTTTCAAAATCTCGTATTATTTCAGTTTTGTGCAAGAACTTTTGCTCTTTTATGAAGAAAAACCCCTTCATATATCTGGTGCTTAAATTTTTAGTATTGGGTCAAAGTAATAAACCTGAGACGTTGATGCAATAAACTAGTTATACTTGAGTGGATTGAAATGAATGTTTGCAGCTATATCTAGTGGCTTCCATACTCGAAGGGGAATTTTTGATGAACATTGTACATCCTTGTTTGCCAGTATGACAGATCTGTGCATGGTCATTAGTCATTTTAATGCCTGAAAATTTTTTTTGCTGGATAAAGTCTGTTGCACTATTTACCTTTTTAAAACCTGGGTTCAAATTAAGAGTCTTCTAGAAATTATCTATTAAAGAACAATCTTGAAAAATTATTGTTTAGTAAACAAAGCCAAACATGACACCACATATTAGTACATGATTCCATTTACATGAAATGTCCTGAATTGGCAAATCCAGAGAGCTAGAAAGTGACTATGAGGGGCTGAAGGCCGGGAGGACTGGGGAGAGATTGCTAATGGATACAGAATTTTAGGAGTGATGAAATGTTCTGGAATTATTTGCCATGGATACACAACATAGTTAATCCATTAAAAACCTTAGAGTTGTACAATTAAAAGTGGTAGATTTTGTGAAATATGAATTACATCTCAAAAATCCAGTTTACGGGGGTGGGGTAGGGAATATTGAATCACTTTTGAAAGAAAACAAAGACTAATATTGATGCTGGGAAACTTCTGTAATTCATAAAGAGGCTTCTTATAAATATTTTTCTTTTATGCCTTTATTTACTATATGAAAAATACTCTTCATTAGTTTACGTATTAGACTTGCTGATTTCACGTGTTTTTGTTGTTTTTTAAGCTTCCAGATAAGACAATTGCAAGTCTTGTAAAATATTACTATTCATGGAAAAAAACTCGATCTAGGACAAGTTTGATGGATCGACAGGCTCGTAAACTAGCTAATAGACATAATCAAGGTGACAGGTAGGTTGAATGCCTTTAGAGAGTACCTTGTTAGGGTTATTACAGTAAATTGCTATGTCTCTTGAGACAAAAATTATCATAATGCATTCATTGTACATACTTTTTATCCTTACTTTCTATTTCTACTCGAACAGGAAGAACCAAGTAAGTGGTCAGAGATCTTAATAGTAAGAACTCTCTTCAGCCTTTTGCTATTAATCATAAAAAGTAAATAATCCCATTGGAGTTATGTTTTAACTGTGTCTACCAATAATCACAAATGTTTCCTTTAGTATTTTTATAGTCAATGCATATATTAAGAACATATTAAAGAATATGTTCTTTAGAAGATGACCTTTCTTGAGTAACTGAAATCCACATTATTGTTATTGGACCTTTCTAGAAATAGAAAGTCATTTTATGTACTAGTTTTTATCTTTTGTGTAGTTTGTAGGGAGTTGCACAGCTAACCCAAAGGCCACATCTCTCTAGCAGTTTCTATTCAGCAGCATCTCCTAGGGAGAAAGATGGGCAGTTCCTTCTAGATTTACAGCCTCCAAAACCCAGTGGAGGATCAGCTGTCAGTCAGTTCTGACTCGATGGCAAAGAGCTTGAGTTTAGTATATCTTCCAACTTGAGAATTAAAATAGTGTTTATATTCTTCATTCCCAAATGATCATTCTTTCCTAAATCCATTTTCAATAGAACAGCTTTTTTCTTTAAGCAAGAGGATAATTTGCTAAATTATTCTTTCTGCCTAAAAGTTACATGTTTTTAAACACTGCAGAAATTTAAAATACAGGTTCATCTTCCAAAGACTTTTCTTCTATTGAACAATATTAGTAAAATTACTAGCCAGGTATATAAAAGTTTCATAAGAGAACTAGATTAAAATTAAAAGGAGGGAATTAAGTTTACTAATCTTTATTTCTTCTCAGTGATGATGATGTGGAGGAAACACACCCAATGGATGGGAATGATAGTGATTATGATCCTAAAAAAGAAGCCAAAAAAGAGGTAATATTAACTATTTATAATTGTTCTGTACATCTACTTTAAAAGTAAGAACAGTATTTCATACTGAGAAAAACTACATTGCATAATAATATAAACAAAGGCAGATGCCATCTAATAGATTCTGACTTCATGACGGCTTTAGGTGTGGTGGAGAACTTTCGGATCACCAGGCCTTTTATCTCTGGAGGATTCCAAACTTTGGGCAGCTACATGTTAACCAGTCTGGGTTTCCATTTAATGGCTTAGGAAGTAATGGGTTTCAATGCTAACTAGTAGTTTTTAGAACTACTTCACTATCTAAGAATGCAAATTAGCCAGTGATGTAAGAAATTTTTGGTTATCTTATTCATTCAGCAGTATGAAAGCACTTACACGCTCTATGATCTTTAACTCACAGAAGAGTCATCCTTAGGATATGCTGTAAAATTACTCTCGCTGGGCCAACTGACTAGAAGATCCTTGTTTGTTCCAATTCTCAAGAAAGTGACCTAACAGAACCATTATTAATTATCATTAATATCACATGCTAGCAAAATATTGCTGAAGATCATCCAAAAACTGCCAAAGTACAAACTTGGTTTAGAAGAGACTGTGGCATCTAGGATATTATTGTTGATTTAAATGAATCTTGGATGAAAGCAGAGAATACCAGAAGAATGTCTTGACTCTGTTTTCTTGACTATACACAAGGCATGTGACTGTGTGGATCATGATCACAAGGTGTGGTTAACATTGAGAAGAACATGTGATCATGCTCATACAAAACCTATACCTAGACCAAGCAGCAGAGCAAGGGAATACCACATGATTTGAAATCAAAGAGGTATGTATCTGGGCTGTATACTTTTTCCATATCTATTCAGTTTCTGTGCTGAACAAATCATTTGAGAAGCTGAACTCTATAACAAAAATGTATCAGGAAAGGAAGAAGATGCGTCAAAAACCTGCATCATGCACGTGATATGACCTTGCTTATTTGAAAGCAAGGAGGACTTCAAATGTTTGCTGTAGAAGATCAAAGACTACAGATTTCAATATGGATTACATCCCAACATTAAGAAGACAGATATCTTTACCACCAGGCCAGTAGGTAACATCATGATAGATGGAGAGAAGATTGAGATTTTCAGCAATTTCATCCTGTTAAGATCCATAGTCAGTGCCTTTGATGCCAGCAGTTAAGAAGTAAGGAATATTGCATTGGGAAAAATCTCTATCAAGTATGTCCAAATTACTTAGGAGCAATGATGTCAACTTAAAGACTAAAATGTCCCTATTTAAAGCTGTAGTCTTTTTAGACACTTTCCATGTGTCTGAGAGCTGGACAGGGAATAAGGATGACAGGAGAATTGATGCCTGTGAATTGTGGTGCCAAAGAATGCCAAAAGAAACAGGTATGTCTTGGAGAAGGTTCAGCAGAGTGCTCTTTAGAAACAAAGATGAAAAACTTTGTTTCACAGACTCTGGGCATGTTGGTAGGAGAATCTAGGCCTTGGAGAGAGACATTGTGCTCAGAAAAGTCAGCAAAAGAGAGGAAAACCCTCAGCAAGATGGATTGACACAGTGACAAGAGCATTGAGCTCAAGTTATGTCAGAAATGGTAATGGCACAGGATAGGACAAGGGTCAGATCTCTTAGTCAACTCGATGGCACATAACAACAACATTCCTTACAAAGCTTTTTTATTCCATGTTGTAGCAAAGTAGAAATTAGTAACACCTGTGGAAGTCCTGCTGGTATACTGGTTAATACTTGCATGCTAACCAAAATTTCAGTAATTCAAACCATTGGAGAAATGTGGCAGTCTACTTGGAAAGTCTTGGAAATTCTGTAGAGCAACTCTACTCTATCTGTAGGATTTCAGTGAGTTAAACTCACCTCAGAAGCAGTATGTTTATTTTTTTAAAGTGTATCTGCGGCTAAGGTATACTGACAGCAGTTAAACTTGACATTTTTTTACTACAACTCTATCCCATATAAAAGTCGACTGATAACTTCGCTTTCTACCTCACAGAAAATACCAGGCAGTATTAAATTCTAGTCCTTAAGATAATCTCTCTACACCCATTCCTGCTGTTTCCATCCAACTGCATTTCACGTAGAATATTGTAGTCGTTGGGTTTTTCCCTACTAAGGAGGAAATGGAAGAATCCTTAACTAAGAAGATACTCTTACCCCTCAAAGTAACATCAGATCAGTAAAGAAGGCTATGTTAGTATTAATACTGTGCTTATTAAAGCCAGAAATTACATTATTGTAGAAAAAAATTTGTTAAAATATAGATGTTTGTGAGGTATAGGCAGCTATGGAATAGCGAAAAGATATTCAGATTAGACAGTAAATCGGGGGAGGAGTGTTTCTGGTTTTGTTCTTTTTCTACATTGTGACTTTATTTTTTAGATTCTCCTCTTTTCTCTAAATTATTGGAAAAATTTTCTATCCTAACACTGCTCTGTGCCTCCAGATTTCCACACCATCCCCTTAAGCCAAAATCTACCCTGCTCCCAAAAGAAATCTTTTTAAAATGATGTCTATAGCTTGAAACTTTATCCCTATCATGCCTTTGTCAACAAGATAGAACAGAAATTGCCTAGTCATTTCCTACCCTACCCTACCCCACACATTTGAAAGTAAATGTTTTTTACATGCCTTTAGTTCTCAGGCTTTTGTCCTATGATTAATGAAGCACATTTTTTAGAATCTTTTCCCAAATCTACCTAGAAAATGGCTCATGACACTGTAAAGTCTGTAAACTGTGCCTTTTATTAAATTGACCAGTTCTTGATTATTTTTTTAAATTTGTTAGGATTCTAATTTGAATCTAGTGATACTTATTTATTCAAAACTCTCTTTACATGAGAGAGAGAACAGTTTAAAAACAATGTATTATAGGGTATTATGATTATCATAAGAGTCCAGAATGAAGGTTCCATAGTGGAATGTACCTGGGGTGGGGGGTGGGGAAGGGGTGGGTAGATTGTATACCAATGAAGGAATTTTTCTTTTACTTTTCAAAGAGAAGACTGAACTGGGTCTTGGGGGAGGGTGGGTGGGGAGGAGAAAGAAAAGTGCAACAATGAATGAATGGAAATCCAAAATCTCTGTAAATATTCATTATAATTAATTAAAAAAAGAAACCGCTTTACCCATCAGCTTATCCCTGGATATTGAGCTCTTTGGGGCACAGATTCTTCTGACTTCTGTGTCTAACACATAATAAACTTCGGTTAAAACATGTTATAATGTTAAGTGCTCGCTTCGGCAGCACATATACTAAAATTGGAACGAAACAGAGAAGATTAGCATGGCCCCTGCGCAAGGGTGACATGCAAATTCATCAAGCGTTCCATATTTTTTCCAAAATCTCTGTAGATGTTCTTGAAATTAATAATAATAATTTTTAAAAAGTTGCAGGAATAAAAAACAAAACACGTTATAATGTTAAAATCAAAACAACCATGAAATATCTCACCCCAGCAACAATTGCAAAGTTCAGTAGAGCAGCAGACAGCAAATGCCGGTGAGGTTGTGGAAAGATTGAAACCCGTATTCACTGCTGATGAAAATGTAAAATGGTAAACCACTGTGGAAAGCAGTTTGGAGCCTTCTCAGAAAGTTAGAAATAGAAATATCATCTGACCCAGCAATTGTACTGCTAGGAATATATCCTAAAGAAACCAGAACCATCCAAGCAGATATATGCATACCCATGTTTATTGCCCCATTATTCACAATAGCAAAGAGATGGAAACAACTAAAGTGCCCATGAACAAATGAATGGATAGAAAAACGATGTTATATTCACGCAATGGAGTACTATGCAGCACTGAAAAATATTACACACCATGGATGACCCTGTTGAGTCACCTGCTGAGTGCAATGTATCAGTCTCAAAAGGAAAAATACTGCATAACACCAGTGTTCTGAAACAGGACTGGCTTGCAGGGAGGGATTGGGAGGAGAATACGAAAAGAGTTGATAGATAATGAACACTATATTGGAACAGATGAGGAAGAGAACTGTTTAAAAGGAATCTATGATATGGCATTATATGTAAGACAGCTGTCCAGAATAATAAGTACATTGCAAAGAAGACTGAAGAGGAGAGAAATTGTGCAACAATGAATAAATATTAAAACAAACACGATATTATAAACTCTAATTACTGAACAAATAAAAAAAATTAGGGTTTTGATTTTAGTTATCTAGAAAATGTATCTATGTAATATGTTTTACCTGACTATACATGATGATAAATAGTAACTTGGTCTTTGTTTGCATGTGATCTCACAGTGTTAATAAACACCATCCAGAGTGTAAATTTAAAAATCTGAAGAGGATATTGGCACAATTGTAGTCCAAGACTGGCACCATTTGTCAGCACCCTCTACTTTGTTCTCTTGTTTTTCAGAGATGGTAGGAAAAACAGTCAAAGAATGATACTACTTGATTGTCTTTGGTATAAATCTCTATAATTTACTGCATAAGTTGGCAAGACAACATCCCCTAATAATTTTTTAACTTTTTAGAATTGTGAAATATTGAGAGAGTGTGTGTGTATGTGTGTGTGTATGTATTTGTTGTTGTGTGCTGTTGAATCACCTTCAACTCATAGCAACCCTGTGCACAACAGCTCTGAAACCTGCCCTGAGCCTGTCTCACTGACTGACACACCAACCCCCATTGCCTCAGTTACTGTATCCCGGGTCCTCTTCTGCCCTGTCCCTCCACGCTTCCACGCATGATGTCCTTCGCCCAGGACTGGTTGGTCTCTCCTGGCCACATGCCCAAAGTATGTGAGACGGAGCTTCAAAATCTCTCACCTTCAAGGAGAAACTTGGCTTCACCTTCTAATAACATGTACAGTTTAAAGAATAAGACAAAGCCAAGTTTATCAATCACTGAGTGTAAACAGAGGTCATATGCATCCCCGGTTGTATCCACTTTGCTTCGATTCTTGCTTTTTTTAAATGTTTTTTACATTAATTTATCACTGTGTA